TATATCTGAAAACAACCTTGTTTAAAAGAATAAATCTATTAAGGAGCTGAGAATTTTCTGGCGTGAAATGAAAAATATTGATTGCTTCCCACCTGTTAGCAGTGAAATCCCATCCAGTTAATTAACCTGCTCAGAGATAAAGTTTATTTTTGCCTTTTGCTTTCAGTTCCCAATCTTTAAAACCATTAAAACAAATACCTGGTCAATGAATAAATCTCCCAGAGTGGCGTTCAGGGCCTCCTGTACTCTGGCTCCAGTCTGCCTTTCTGATTTTACTGTTAGCTGCTTATCTTCAAGTATCTTCCACCCCAGCCTGATGTATTCACTAAAAAAAAGTATTCGGTGCTCCTACTGTTAAGAATATGTTTCCTCCTCTAAATTTTGCATATTTTGACTTGGTTCAGGTGTCACTTCTTGAAAAAGACTTTCCCAGAGCTCTGGCATCTATCTCTACCTCTCCCTACCTCTCGCCACCTTTCCTAATTGCTGCCAAGCTGGGAGCATAATCTGTCTATTCTGAACACTCCCCAAATTTTGATACCTTTGTAGCATTTATTATTTTATGCCTTATATCATGATTACGTACATATTTATAGTGCCAGACTTTGTGGATGCAATTCCAACAATTCATTTTTGCGCTCCTACCCAATGCCTCACCTATGATGGATGTTCAGCAAATATTTTTGGAATGTTTAAATGTTCTTTATGGCTGTGTTTACCCCTGGAGTTCCTGATTAAATACCAATGTAAGAAGAATGTTTTTTGTTTTGTTTTGTTTTGCTTGAGTTGGAGTCTCACTCTGTCACCCAGGCTGGAGTGCCTTGGCACGCTCATGGCCACCCCAGCCTCGACCTGCTGGGCTCCGGTGATCCTTCTGCCTCAGCCTTCCAAGTAGCAGAACTACAGGCACGCGCTACCACGCCCCGTTAATTTTTGATTTATTGTAGAGATGAGGTCTGGCCAAGTTGCCAGGGCTGGTCTTGAACCCTCGGGATCAGGCAATCCACTCGCCTCAGCCTCCCAAAGTGCTGGGATTACAGGCTGAACCATCTAGCCAGGCCTAAGAAGAATGTAACTCAGTGAAGTGTTTTGCAGGAGTTACATTATATTCAAAACAGGGCTGTTGGTCTTTCTGAAGACAATCCTGTTGTTACTTTCCATCCTTAGCAATCTTCTGTTCCTAGAAATGTTTTTGCTTTCAGGAGAGAAGTTTGGAAAGGCAGTTTTGTATGAACATCACTTGTTTCTACAACTCTGAATATAGGCTTCAATGGCTTTTCCATCTCCTGTCCCTTACTCACACAACACACTTGGAACTACTATTTTAATGAGCACAAAACCCCAAAACTCAATTTTAGGTAAAGCAGATATTCTATATGAGAACACTCTCATGTATGTGTTTAGGCTGAAGGGGAGGAATATGGTAGTTTCACTGAAACACAAAGGCCATTTATTTATTCAGAGTTCATTTTCTTCAGGCCCTATCTTATGTGCTAATGATATACATAAAAATACTCATCCTTGCCTTCAAGGAGCTCTGAGTTATATGGAGGAAGATGAATGTATGATGCGATAATTAATACAGAGTGTGATTTATGCAATGCCAGAGACAGATACAGAGTGATGTGGAGCAGATTTTCTTTTTTTTTTCTTTCTTTTCCTTTTCTCTTCTCTACCTCCACCTCCTTCTCTTCTTCCTTCTTTCTCTTTTGTTTTTTTTTTTTTAAGTTGAGGCCTCACTCTGTCATCCAGGCTAGAGTGCAGTGGCAAGATCACAGCTCACTGCAGCCTCGACCTTCCGGGCTTAAGAGAGTCTCCCACCTCAGCCTCCTGAGTAGCTGGGACTACAGGCACATGCTCACCGTCACCACAGTCTCAGCCTCCGGTCTCAAGCATAGATTTTCTTTGAGGACTGATGGAATGTTTTAAATAAAAGGTTCTCTTTTGCAGCACAGTGTACATACCAATATTAATAAATAGTATTATTTCGTAGTTATTAAAAGCATCAACACCATCTTCAAACCAATCACCTTGGGCTGGGTCTCTGCATCCTCTGTGGGTGCTGAGGCATGATTCAGACAAGCCACCATGCTGGATTAATGAAGACTGAGATGTTGGTTCCTGCTCCGTAGAGCTTGTAGGAATGAATCATTCATGGAGATGGCAGCAAAGGGGTAGTTTTCTTATGACTCACTGGGCTGAACTTCATGCCAATAATATTTTGGTGCAGAGAGTTTTGCATGCTACTCTGTCTATGGCTCCAGTATTTCTAAAGGCATTACTGCAGCTGTTTAGATGACTCATTCGAATGTCTTCTCCAAGTCTATGACCCTAGAGCGTGTGTGTGTGGGTGGAAGGTTATAAGGGAAGGTACAAAAACAATCCCAAGGGTCTTTTGTGGTTGCTGTTTTTGTCGGGTTTTTTTTGAGCCAGGGTCTTACTCTGTCACCCGGGCAGGCGTGCAGTGACACAATCATAGCTCACTGCAGCTCAACCTCCTGGGATTCCCGCAACCTTGACCTCCTGGGCTCAAGCATCCCTTCTGCCTCTGCCTGCCAAGTAGCTGAGACTACAGGTTCATGCCACCATGCCTGGCAAATTTTTTTGTAGAGACGAGATCTTGCTATGCTGCCTGGGCCGGTCTTGAACTCCTGGACTCAAGCCATCCTCTTGCCTCAGCCTCCCAAAGTGCTGGGATATAAGTGTGAGCCACTGCACTTGGCTGCAATCTTAAATTTTAAATGACCCAAGTCTTCAGCTGCAAATCTCGAGTTTTTATACAGATCGCTTTAAGTTTCCATCTTTTTCTTGGTCTTCACATTTAGGGACACTTTGCTGCTCACTAGAAACTCCTTGAGAAAAATGGAGCAGGGTGACATGAGACAGAAACAGAAACAGGAGAGGAAATTAGAACCCATTTCAAATCACCCCTTGTCAGCGGCTCGGTGGAAGTCTTGGAGAGGGAGGAAGCTGGGGATATTGGCTCGGGCGAGGCTGTAATATTGCTGTAGATTCTCATGATTCACAGTTGAAAGAGTACTCTGGCTTTTTAATAATGACCACCGCGGTGACAGGGGCCACCAGCCAGCCACTCAGCACAGGTGCACCGAACACTTCTGACATGCCGTCACTGCCTTAGGCACACGGGCCCCACGTGGGTTTTAAAAAAGATAAAACTGGCCCCCCCGGAGCTTAAATTCTAGAAGAGATTAGCAGGTGCTCATTTCCCTTCCCCGCTTGCGAGTCTGAAACATTTCCTGCTCACGAGGGACTTCCTCCCGATCAAGTCTCAGCCTCATCATGGAAGTCAGAAAACTTTCCCTCTCCCAAAGCTTGCAGACCGGAACCTACTGGAAAGGCGGGTTAGAGCCGGGGAATGGACCCCGGCGTGGCGGCGG